GAAGAGGCAGTACTAAAGTCAAGGAGTGTTCATGTTTAAAGATAACTTGGTGAATGGATACCAGCCTTTGTGGAGGTATTTCAGTAGCAACAAGAGTGGAATTAATGATATAACTATGCAAAACGCCTGTTAGCTGAAGCCCAACTGGACAGTAGCTACACCTGGCTTTATCATTGGTAAATGCGGCAGATGGATCACATGAGTTGCAGGTTATTCTGATGGAAGTGGAAATCCTTGCCAGTCCAACTGAGCTCAGAGAACGTTTTGCAAGGTCTGCCTCAGGTTGCCATTTCTCTAGATGACATTCTAATAACAGGGAAAACTAATAAGGAAAACTTCAAAAACTTGGATATCATCCTGAGGCATTTTTCCAAGGCGGGTGTACGCCTAAGAAGGGAAGACTCTGTTTTCTAGGATCCCAAGTGACCTACTTGGGCCATGGAGTCAACAAGACCAGGTTAAACTTGTTGGAAGGTAAAGTGAGGACAGTCAAAGGTGCCCAGTCCTCACATCAGTGCCGGAGCATAGGTCATTCTTGGACTGTTAAATTATTGTGGATGGTTCATTCGTAACCTGTGGTCCATCCTGGCATTTTTGCGTCAACTCCTAAACAAGAGTCAGCCTTGGAAATTGTCACATAGACAAGCTCTAGCTTTCAGTGAAGTAAGGAAATGCTTGCCATCCTCTAAGGCACACTGTGATCCCAAGAAAGATCTGGTATTGACATGCAGTGCCTTCCCATACAGCATTGGGATAATATTAGCTCCAAGGTGGTCCAATGGAGAGAAATACCCAATAGTGTGTGCATCCAGGACTTTGCCTAATACAAAATGTAAATATACCCTGATAGAGAAAGAATGGTGGTCATATTTGGGGTCAGGAAGTTCCACCAATACCTTAATAGATTAAAATTTGTGATAATCACAGACCACAAACACCGACTTGGTCTGCTTAAAGAGGACACGGCAGTGCTGCTGTTATGAACCAGACCAAACCCCCTCAAAATATATTAAGAAGATAGCTTAGACCCCACGTTTTCTTACTTTAAAAGGCAAGTGCAAGGCATTGTGTTCTGAATGCAATTCAATTGGACAAAGTACTACGCTTGAAGCAAAACACACTTTATTCTTACATTTCAGTTAAAATACAGACATAAAAAGAGTAAAAAAGAATTTTAACTGTAACTGTATCAAAATACTCAACAAGATAATAAATACTGTTAATTAGCTGTTCCAAGTAACATTGCCATAGACACACCCTTGGCAAAGGCAAATTCAGTAAAATAGATTGTCTCACACGCAATATTTCTCCAGTCCAGGAGGAAAGAATATCAAGAGAAAACTTTGAGTGAGAGAGAGAGAACTCAAGTGTTTTGCTGTAGCAGGGGGAGTTGTATAGCACCTTCCAAACCCCAACAGCTGCTGAAAGTTGAACTAAAATCCTGTGGGAGCTTGACCCCATTTATTCCAACTTCTTTAAAAAATCCACAGCCTCACAAGCTGTTTACTTTTTTTTAATTTATTACAGGATGAGGGCATTACTGGCTAGGTTAACATTTATTACCCAAAGGGCACTTAAGTGTCAACCACATTGCTGCAGATCTGGAGTCACATTGTAGGCCAGTAGCTTCCTTCCCTAAAGGACATGAGTGAACCAGGTGGGTTTTTCCCCATCAATCAGTAATGGTTTACGTGGTCTTCATCAGACTCTTAATTCCAGAATTTTATTGAATTCCAATTCCAACATCTGCTGCAGTGGGATTTGAACCTGGGTCCCCAGAATGTTATTTAGGTCTCTGGATTAAAAGTCTACTGATAATACCATTAGGCCATCACCTCCCTCCCTTTATTAGCTTGGAACAAATCACTTGGCACATCTACCTCAACATCTTTTCATAAAAAGACGAGGACAAAATGTACCTTAAAGCCATAGTATCGTCACCTCACCCATAGCTTCAGGCCACATTCAGCGGTAGGCTATAATACTAAGCGCTTGTAAGTACAAGTTGGAATACCGTCCAGGAGGCTGAGTAGCAAATGCAGAGACATTGATCTGCCTCCCATTAGCACATGCACTACTTGTGGTACACCCAATGGAAGAGTCTGATGATATTACATTTTCTGGACACACTTCCAGTCCCAGCTGATAAAATCAGACTCTTTGGATGAAGAAAGATCCAGTCCTTTCAAAATTGAAACAAAAGATGATCAGAGGATTAGATAGGGTGGACAGCGGGAGCCTTTTTCCTCGGATGGTGATGGTTAGCACGAGGGGACATAGCTTTAAATTGAGGGGTGATAGATATAGGACAGATGTCAGAGGTAGGTTCTTTACTCAGAGAGTAGTAAGGGCGTGGAATGCCCTGCCTGCAACAGTAGTAGACTCGCCAACTTTAAGGGCATTTAAATGGTCATTGGATAAACATATGGATGATAATGGAATAGTGTAGGTTAGATGGGCTGCAGATTGGTTTCACAGGTCGGCACAACATCGAGGGCCAAAGGGCCTGTACTGCGTTGTAATGTTCTATGGGGGAAACCAAAGGGCTGTCACAACTAGAATTGAAACCTTTTTGGACCCGGAGAGACCAGCTCACAGTAGAGGACAGTATATTGTTGTGGGGAGCAAGAGAGATTGTCCTGAGCAAAGCTTGCCACCAAATACTGGCAGAACTCCACCAGGGCCATCCACGGGTCTCCAAAATGAAGGTGCTGGCACAAAGTTATGTCTGGTGGCCAGGCCTGATGCAGACACAGTGATGTTGGTGGGACAGTGCCCAGAGTGCCAACAAGGACAAAAATTACTGCCAACAGCTCCCCAACATCCATGGGAATGGCCAGGTGAACCTTGGAATCGGTTACACATCGTCTATGCAGGTCCTTTCATGTGTTCAATGTTCTTAGTCATTATAAATGCCCACTCAATGTGGTTGGACATGCATAGGGTGCATTGTCAAACATGGGGATGATGACAAAAAACTGGGCATATTTTTTCAATACATGGAGTCATGGAAGCGTTGAACACAGGCAACAGGATATCGTTTGCCAGCAGGGAATTTGGGTATTCCCTAAAGTTAAATGGGATTCAACATATAAGGGCAGTTCCGTATCACCAATCATCCAATGGCCTGGTAGAAAGAACAGTCTGAATTGTGAGGCTGGCTTGAAGAAACAGCTAGAGCCTTGCTAGAAACCAAGCTGTCACAGTTCTTGTTTGATTATAGGACCACCCCACATGCAACTACAGAGAAAGCACTGGCAGAGTTGCTAGTGGGTAGAAGACTCTACACCAGATTAAGTCTGATCTTTCTGGACGTGAGGGGGATGGTGGAACAGCATCAGGAATGATAATGCAGGACAAAAAACTCCACCAAGCAAGAGAGACAGTTTGATACAGGGCAGGAGGTTTGGTGTAAGAATGACGGAAATGGCTCTGCATAGTTAAGAGGCATAGGCGACATGAGGTCAGGACTACTGATGTATAAAGATCGTGTAGGTGCAAAACTTCTGAATAAGCACGTGGACCGTATGAAAGCCGCAATACATGCCCTGCCCTCAGAACAGTCAGAAAAGCAGCCAGAACCTGTGGGTTCACCCTGTCCGTCAAGCATTGATAAATCCTCAGAATCAGATGGATATGACAAATGTAGTCGCCTCGACATTTTTGCCGCCAGAAGAAGAGAATGAAATTCCACTGAGGCGCTCCTGGTGCAAGAGGCTAGCTTCCGTGCATTACAAGTCTCTATTGGATGCCGAGTTGGAGGACCCTGACTTGGCGCTGAGATACCCTGAGGGTTGTCCAAGTAAAAGGATCAGCCATTGCCCTCAGACTCAGAGGGGGAGGTATGTAGTGATTACAGTGAGGTCAGCTAGCTGGACCTCGTATAATATGAGTTCCCGATTGAGACTGTTAATCTGGTCCAATCAGGGAATCCTGGATGACAGATAAAAAGGGGTATGTCAGAGATACTGACATTCAGATAGCTGATTCTGAAGAAGCATTCCTAAAGTCAAGGACTGTTCTTGTGCAAATAAAGGGTGACTCAGTGATGAAATACCGGCCTCTATGGCTGTATTTCAGGTTTATTGAAGGAAATCAAAGAAAACCAAAAGTTTCCGGTGATGAACTCAAAACGGTACTCCTGGTAACAACAGGTTTCTACTATTTTATAGTTGAGTCTCTGTAGTCAAAGTTATAATTCATAGTGTATTGTGGTGCAGTGAAAATGTCCCTACCCCTGGATCAGAAGATTTGAGTCCCATCTGCCAATGAGATGTTGGGCACAGTTATGATTCTTGATCGATTGAAAATATAAGAAAAGCTCGTTTTCTGCCTGAGATTACTTTTTTCAGCCAAAGTTCTTATCTTTCTAAAGCAGGATGCCTTCCCTCTGATTTCTAGACCCAGACTGCTTTCTTTCGGCTGTTTTTGGTATAATAAGCCTATTTCAGTAACGTGCACATTGAATTGTTCCTTTTGTTACCCACAAATGATTTGAAATGTTGGTCATTCTGTGATGACGGCTTAATAAATGATGATCATTTGCATGTTCTGTGATTAAAATGGTTCTTTCATGCACTTGCTTTTGTTGGATTTCAAATTTGCCAGTTCTAGATCTGGGGTGACCATTGTATCTAAGCATGTATAAATATCTAGAAAATAGTACCTGTTAATTCCACATCTGTTGCATCCTGATGTTTCTTCAATGGTAGGTCTAAAAGGTTACTTATATTTTAATGATTCTCCAGAGACGTGTAGAAGAATCATTTGTTTGTGTAAATTGCCCAAATTATATTTTCATATTAAAAATATCTGTTGTTCTTATCTGTTTAGGAGCAAATGATACAAGCTCAGCAATGAAACATGAAGTTCTGTTCTTATTAGTTTTATGACCTTGTGTAGATTTTATGTTGTATTTATGGGTATAGCATGCAGATCATAACTTTGTTTATAAAATAAAAAAAACTACACTTAATGTTAAATAATCTTTTACTTTGCAGGTTATATGGGCAAATTCTTATAAAGTTGGATGTGCAGTTTCTGATTGTCCCAAAGGAATTAAATCTTCTGGATTTAAAGGACCAGGTGTAATTTTTGTCTGTAACTATGCACCAGCGTAAGTCTGTTAGTTTTTTTAAATTGAAAACATACTTTGATTTTGTTGAGGTAAGAGTGACTGCCCTTGAAATCAAGGCAATGGTTCACTCACAAATGGAATCAAGGTGAAATCTGGTTGGGAGTCTTAGCATACAGAAAGGTGGTTGTAGATTTTTAAGGTCAGTCATCCCAGTCCCAGCATGTTGCTGCAGGATATCCTCAGAGGGGGAGAGATTTAGTGATTACAATGAGGTCAGCTAGCTGGACCTCATACAATATGAGTTCCCGATTGAGACTGTTAATCTGGTCCAATCAGGGAGCCCTGGCTGACAGATAAAAAGGGGAGTGTCAGAGATACTGACACTCTGATAGCTGATTCTGAAGAAGCATTCTGAAAGTCAAGGACTGTTCATGTGCAAATAAAGGGTGACTCAATGATGGAATACCAGCCTCTATGGCTGTATTTCAGGTTCATTGAAGGAAATCAAAGAAAACCATGGGCTAAACAATTTTCGTTTGCTCTATCAATAATATTCCCTCTATATAATGTAAAGTCAGAAATGGGATATTTGATGATTGTACAGTTAAGAGTGCCAACTTGCAACTATTTAGATCTTGTGCTAACATGGAGTAAGACCTGAACAGAATTCAGGCCACGACTAATTTCAACAACAGGGAATATTACCATCTCCTCTTGGCATTAGCAGCATTACCATTGCTGAATCCTTCCAAAACAGTACCATGGGAGTTACCATTAATCAGAAACTTGAAACTGGGAATTTTGTGACAAGTACCTTGCCTCCAAATTCTCTAAAGCCTGTCCACCATCTAAAAGATAAAGGGAGGAAATTCCCTTAAGCAGCTCAACACCGAAGACAAGGTCGGCTTAAATAGTATCCAGTTCAGTACCTTAAACATGCATTCATTTCACCACCAGTGGCATCTCTGTGTGCACCATCTGCAAGACATACTGCAGGATCTTGCCAAGAATATTTCAAAAATGCCTTCCAAATCTCTAACCTCTACCACAGAACAAGGGCAGCAGATCACACACAAACACCACCACCTGAAAGTTCATCAAGGTTTGGTGCTTTATCGTTGTTACTTCACTACTGCTAGGTTACAATCCCGTAAATCCCTTCCACGCTGTACTAAGAGTATATCTACACCACACAGACTACGGTGGTCCACCTCCATGTTTTCCAAGGCAATCGATTCTGGCCTTGCTAGCAATGCATGCAATCCATAAAAGGATGAAAGAACATTTTTAAGAAAATTAACTATAATGTGCTGTGTTTACCTTTTTAATTCAAAAAGAATTGTTGATTTTTAGACATAATAAGGGAATAATTCTTCAGCTGCTGTTCTGTACTTAACCTATGATAGCCATGTCTCATGAAAATAGTTATTCCTATAACTCTGTCTTAAATTTATAACTGCCATTAAATCAAGGCATGCAATGTATGTAATCATTACAATTATTTAAATCACTACCCTTGAGGTTTGTTTATATAAGACAGAGGTTTGGAATTGAGCCAATAAAGGCTGCAATTAAAATACTTAACTTTGATTCCTTTATTCTTGAGCATTTCACAAAAAGATACTCACCTTGGAACTCCTGCATTGTTGTCATCGCCTAAATGCAGAGGAGTATGCATATACAAGTTGACAGAATGTTCATTTTTTTGACAACCAGTTTGTCAAAAATTACAAAAAAACTAAAGTCCTTAGTGCTTAGAAATCAACGGGCAAGGTGTTACCTAGCTTAGCATTCTTCAAGGTTACTCTTGAAAAAAAGTCTTATCTGGACCCCTACTATTTGGTGAGTTTATGTTAGATCTGTCAATCCATCCAATCACCTGACTCAGTTGTAAATTGAAGAGGATATCATTCTTCTTATTATTTTTGATGACTTCAAAAATGCAGTAAATACCAGACAAATGAAATTGTATGTCTGATTTCCACCTGCTTGGAAGCAGCATCTAGAGGAAATGGGGAAATAGCTTCAGAGAAACCCATCCAATAATTCATTATTTTTTAAATTAAAGGAATGAGCAACTGATTAACATCAGGTAATCAATCTTACCAATTCAAGTTGGAGTAGTTTGAAGATGATATGTCACGTGTTAAAATGACCAGTATCTGGGCCAGTATTGCATTCATTATTCTACCTTCCAAACAAACCTTTCTGTAAAAGCTAGGCACATGTGATCTTGAAGTCATGTTTACCTAAACATGCCTCCAACCGGGAGAAGCAGATAAAGCATTCCATTGTATTTAATGTAATGGGACTCCCAGCAGCAACTGGCAGTGGTGATGGGCACTAAGCAGTTGTGCAGAATTTCCGCCATCAAGATAAGGAGGACGGCTAGAGCAGTTGAATAGATTCTAGGTGGAAAATAAAAATTGTCTTTGATGGGGAGAGGGGTCATGCAAAGGATAGAGACAAAGAAGTCCATGTGGTCATTCAGTGTACATACACTCCTTGTTTATTCTTAATTTCCCTTTCTGTTTGTAATGACCTGATTCCAGTTGTGTAAAGAACCCTTGTTTCATGATCATTGAGCCATATAGAACATAGAACAGTACAGCACAGTACAGGCCCTTTAGCCCACAATGTTGTGCCGACCTATTATCCCACTAAGATCAAACTACCCTGCATACCCTACATTATACTATCATCCATTTGTGTATCCAAGAGTCAGTTAAAAGTCTCTGAAGTATCTGACTCCACTACCACTGCCGGCAGCACATTCCACACGCCCACCACTTTCTGTGTAAAGAATCTACTGCAGACATTTCCCCTATACCTTCCTCTAATCACCTTAAAATTATGCCCCTTCGTCATAGTCATTTCCGCCCTTGGAAAACTTCACTGGTTGTCCACTCTATCTATGCCTCTCGTCATCTTGTACACCTCTATCATGTCACCTCTCATCTTTTTTCGCTCCATGAATAAAACCCTAGCTCCCTCAACCTTTCCTCATAAGACCTGCCCTCCAGTCCAGGCAGCATCCTGGTAAATCTCCTCTGCACCCTCTCTAAAGCTTCCACATCCTTCCTATAATTAGGTGACCAGAACTGAACACAGTATTCCAAGTGTGGTCGAACCAGGGTTTTATAGAGCTGCGGCATAACCTCGCAGATTGTAAACACAGTTCCCCTGTCAATGAACGCCAATAAACCATATGCCTTCTTTACAACCCTATCAACTTGAGTAGCAAGTTTGAGGGATCTATGGACGTAGATCCCAAGATCCCTCTGTTCCTCCACACTGCCAAGAATCCTGCCATTAACCCTGTATTATGCACTCAAATTCAACCTTCCAAAGTGAATCACTTCACGCTTTTCTGGGTTGAATTCCATCTGCCACTTCTTTACCCAGCTCTGCATCCTGTCAATGTCCCGTTGCAATTACAACAGCCCTCCACGCTATGCACAACTCTACCAACCTTCATGTCATCGGCAAACTTACTAACTCATCCTTCCACTTCCTCATCCAAGTCATTTATAAAGATCACAAAGAGCAGAGGTCCCAGAACAGATCCCTGCGGCACACCACTGGTCATTGAGGTCCAGGCTGAATACTTTCCATCTACTACCACTCCCTGTCTTCTATTGGACAGCCAGTTATGTAGCCAGACAGCCAAATTTCCCTGAATCCCATGCCTCCTTACTTTCTGAATGAGGCTACCATGGAGAACCTTATTAAATACCTTGTTAAAATCCATATACACCACATCCACCGCTTTGCCTTCATCAATGTGTTTTGTCACATTCTCAAAGAATCAAACAAGTCTTGTGATGCATGACCTGCCCCTCAAAGCCATGCTGACTATTTCTAATCAACTGTGCTTTTCCAAATAATCATAAATACTGTCTCTCAGAATCCTCTCCAATAATTTGCCGACCACAGAAGTAAGACTGACTGGTCTGTAATTTCCAGGATTATTCCTATTCCTTTTCTTGAACAAGTGAATGACATTTTCCTCCCTCCAATCACCTGGTACTACTCCAGTGGACAGTGAGGACGCAAAGATTATCGCCAAAGGCAGCAATCTCTTCCCTCGTGTCCCGTAGTAACCTTGGGTATATCCCGTCTGGCCGAGGGGACTTATCTATCCTCACGTTTTTCAAAATTTCTAGCACATCCTCCTTCCTAACATCAACCTGTTCGAGCATATCTGCCTGTTTTATGCTGTCCTCACAAACGTCAAGGTCCCTCTCACTGGTGAATACTGAAGCAAAGTATTCATTAAGGACCTCCCCTACCTCCTCTGACTCCACGCACAAGTTCCCTTGTTCCTTACATAAGCGTAGAACTCCTTAGGGTTTTCCTTGATCCTACCCACCAAGGCTTTTTCATACCCGCTTCTAGCTCTCCTAAGTCCATTCTTCAGTTCCTTCCTGGCTACCTTGTAGACTTCTAGAGCCGTGTTCAATCCTTGCTACCTCAACCTTAAGTAAGCTTCCTTCTTCCTCTTGACTAATGTTCCACATGTCTTGTCATTCAAGGTTCCTTCATCTTACCATCCCTTCCTTGCTTCAGTGGTACAAACCTATCCAGTACTTGTAGCAACTGCTCCCTAAACAGCCTCCACATTTCTGTCATGCATTTCCCTGAGAACATCTGTTCCCAATTTATGCTCCGCAGTTCTTGCCTAATAGCATTGTAATCCCCCTCCCCCAATTAAATACTTTCCCATACCATCTGCTCCTTTCCCTCTCCATGATTATAGTAAAGATCAGGGAGTTGTGATCACTATCACCGAAATGCTCTCCCACCGAGAGATCTGACACCTGGCCTGGTTCTTTGCCAAGCACCAAATCCAATATGGCCCCTTCTCTAGTCAGCCTATCTACCTATTGAGTCAGAAATCCTTCCTGGACTCACCTGACAAAATCTACTCCATCCAAACTATTTGCACTTAGGAGGTCCCGGTCTATATTTGGGAAGTTGAAGTCACCCATGATAACAACCCTGTTACTTCTGCAACTTTCCACAATCTGTCTCCCAAT